CCTCCCAAGTAGCTGGGAGCACAGGCGCCCGCCACAACGCCCGGCTATTTCTTGGTTGCAGCCGTCATTGTTGTTTGGTGGGCTGGGCTGGATTCAAACCCACCACCTTAGGTGTATGTGGCTAGTGCCTTAGCCACTTGAGCTACAGGCACCGAGCCACTAAATTTTGATAGATGCAAACTCTTTGTTATGCTAGCAAATATTGTTCATTCTATATAAGTCTATTTATGCACCTATTAACCATTCTCACTTCATAATAATTAAAATAAATAAGTTAAATTCAAAAAAATTTAAAAAAGGAATGAACCCTTTTCATTTCATTGCATCCTAACCAGCATTGAATGTTGGTGTTACTTAAAAGTTTTATAGCCTGAGCATGGTGACTCATGTCTGTAATCATAGCACTCTGGGAAGGGAAGAGATGGGGTCTCATGAACTGGGACCAGCCTAAGTAAGAGTGAGACACCATCTCTACTGAAAATAGCAAAAATTAGCCTGGCTTTTTAGAGGTTGCCTATATTCCCAGCTACTTGGGAGGCTAATGCAGGCAGCTCACTTGAACACAGGAGTTTAAGGTTGCTGTGAGTTACACTGATGCCCTGGCACTCTAGCTTGGGCAACAGAGTGAGACTCTGTCTCAACAGTAAAAAAAAGTTTTATGAACATATTTTAAAAATGTTGTTACAATTAATTTAATATTAAAAACCAGATCAAAGTATCTGGCATTTGAGGTTAAAGAGTGTTAATTTCTTTTAAACATACAAAATTTATTTAACCCTTCTGAGCATCAGTTTCCTTACTCATAAAGACCAATTGTCCTAACTCACAGAATGGTGTAAATATTGAATGGTATACTGTATAAAAGTGCTTAGCAGAGTAGTTCAGGTATAATAAATGCTGAGTATATAAATGTTATATATTTTTAAAATTTCGTATTCACCATTTAATAGAAAGATTGAACTTTAAAAATATTTTAATATTCTTGACCATGAATTACCTACTGATAAGCTTTGTTTACTTTCATTGGATTTACTGTTGTATTTATTAGTCAGAGATATTATGAATAGAAATCCTTGTTTGGGCTTAGCTATTATAGCATGTTTTCAGAGCCTATCCTTACAGCTTAACTTTTTTATTTACTATCTAGCTTTTTTAATTTTCTAAATTTTTTATTAATTCACAAATGCAAAGATCATATATACATTAATGCATGTGTTGGTACAATGTGCTGATTTCATATAGAATTAGGAGCATTTAGGTGTAAGAAAGATTGGACTGAAAGATTAGACAGCTTATGAACTCTTGGTAACCTATTTTTCTTAGAACATCCTTTCCTACACATCTCAAATTTACATAAACATGTTTTTCTTTTACACTTATACCTTTAAAATACCCAGAATTTATTTTTATGTGAAATATAGATTTCTGTTGTTGCCTTTATAATGTAGAGCCAACTTCCCTCAGACCATTAGGCTACAGGCAATTTGAGAGAGGACAGTAAGTTCCTCAAATGCTATGTCATCCTGTGTTATTACTATCTCTAGTCCAGAGTTTTATAAGATCTACATTTATTTAAAATTTAAAATTTGAAATTTACTCTCAGTTATTTTGAAATATACCATTGCATTGTGCAATAGGTATGATCCTACCCCCAAGATAAGTAAGTGAGGTGATGGATATGTTAATCGCTTTGGTTTAAGCATTCCACATTGTATATCAAATCATCACATTGTACCCTGTAAATGTACACAGTTGTGATTTTAATTAAAAATGAAATAAAAATAAAAATTAAAAATTAACTATTTTTCACAGGAAAAAAACATCTACATGCATCCTTTTATTTTGGAATGAAAGTCAACATATTGAAATATATGTTTAAAACATCATATCTATGTCTCTCTCTCTCATATATATGTGTGTGTGTATATATATATATATATATAAAACCTTGATTTGACATACTCATATGTCTCACTTTTCAGGTTAAAAAAATTTTT